AAACCAGTTAAATTTGATTCAATTACTCACTTAGTTTTTCTCACCCTGTAGGGACCTGTAGTCCCTGGGAAGAGGAGGAATCTTTTTTTGCCCCAGTTAGCTAATTTCACTCTGGTATGCCACATCTCAGGAAGACTTCAGGTTGGATATTAGGCAACATTTCTTCTCAGAATGAGTGGTTAGGCACTGGCAAAGGCTGTCCAGGGAGGTGGTGGAGTCACCATCCCTGCAGGTGTTCAAGAACCATACACACGTGGATGTGGCACTGAGGGACATGGCCAGTGACCATGGTGGGATGGGCTAGATGATCTTGGTTCTGTGATTCTAAGACCTATCTGGAATCTGAAAGCCTGTTTATTTGGGGGGGGGGGGGAGGGGGAGGAAAGGACAGTGAGCCACTTGGCCTATTTGGTGTATGTTATTCAATGAACTTCCTCATCTGTGTGGCAGGTTAGTGTCTGAAGAAGCTGAAATGGAATCACGTGGAAAGGCTCATTAAATTAGTAAGAAAACAGGATGGATTCTAAGCCTCAGGTCAGATGCACATTACAGCTAATGAGGACTTGAAAAAGCTTATGCGATGGGGTAAATGACACGCTTGAGGTACTGTGGCTTTTGGCAGCATTACTATGTTTAACAGGGACGAGGAAGGGCACAGGTGTTTTGTCTGAAAACACAAAAGGGTCTGAAATTTCTGTCTGAGTCCTCTAACCTGCTGAGCCAGCCAGCGCACTGGAAGGCAAAGCAGACGTCAGTCCAGACAGAGAGCAGGAACGACTCACCACACAGGCCTACTCCCTCACACCCGGGGTTGGGGGTGACCCAATCCCACACAACAGGCGAGGAACGCGCCGGGACAAACCGCGGGAAAGGCCGGGGGGGGGGGAGCGCGGCGGAAGGAGTCACGGGACTCCCGCCCGCCTCCGGAGGCGGAGAGGGAAGCGTCGCGAGAACGGCGCGCGCCGGGGGCGTGGCGTGGCGGCGGCAGGGCGCTGCGCTGCGGTGCGCTGGGTTGGCGGCGACTGGATAGGCGGCGGCTGCTCCGCTGCTCCAGGAGGAGAAATGGCGGCGGGCGGCGGACGCTGAGGACAGCGCTCAGGTACGGGCCGCCCGCTGTTCTGCAGAGGGACAGGGCCTGCCGCTTCCGGCGGGCTGCACTGAGGCCGGGGCGCCGCCTCCCGGCCCGGTGGCCGCCACAGGTGGCTCCTTCCTTCCCTCCCGGAGGATGCTCCGGCCCTGCCCTGAGGGAGGGGGAGAGCTGGCGGCTCTTTGCGTGGCCTGGGGCGGCGCGGCGGCTGGGGAGAGCCCGGTAACGGAGCGGGGGGCGGCGGGGAGGCCTGCAAAGGGGGTGGCGCGGGGCTCGCGGGCAGCTCTGCGGGGATTGCGCTGTGTCTGCTGGAAGCGCCTGGCTGTAATACGGGGGGCTTACGAAAAGCGGCCCCTCGATCTCTTCTTCCCAGCCCTGAGATTTAGGAGGAATGCGGCTTGTTTACTTCCTTGACTCTTTTGAGGGGCTTTATATATATTAAAAACAAACAAACAAAAAAAAAACAAAGTAGCTGCTGCTTTTTCTTTTTTTTTTTTTTCTTGTAAGTCTCTCTGGTTTTCCTTGGTATCAAATGGAATCACGTAGTTGTGAACGGTTGCTTTGGTGTTATGATTCTTAATGAGGCTCTGAGATGTTATCAGAGTCAGTTAGGGAGAGAAATCATACAAAGGTTTGGGTTGGAAAGGACCTTTAAGATTATCTGCTTCCAACCCCCTGCTGTAGGCAGGGACGCCTCCCTCTGGACCAGTTTGCTCACAGCCCCATCCAGACTGGCCTTGAATCCTTCCAGGGAGGGGGCATCCACAACCTCACCAGGCAAACGTGTTCCAGAGTCTCACCACCCTCACAGTCAAGAATTTTTTCTAATATCTAATCTAAATCTACCCTCTGCCAGTTTAAAACTGTTTCCTTTTGCTACCCACCGTTATTAAAAGCCCCTCCCCATCTTTTCTGTAGGCCCCCTTCAGGTACTGGAAGACCATTATAGGGTCCTTCCAGGGCCTTCTCTTCTCCAGGCTGAACAGCCCCAGCTCTCTCAGCCCGTCCTCATTGGTGAGGTGCTCCAGCCCTTTGTGGCCCTCCTCTGGACCTGATCCGACAGCTCCACATCCTTCTTGTGTCAGGAGATCCAGAACTGAACACATTACTCCAGGTGGGGTCTCATGAGAACATAGAGAGGCAGAATCACCTCCCTCGCTCTCCTGCTGCGACTCCGGATACAGTTGGCCTTCTGTGTGCGTTGCTGGCTCGTATAGAGCTTCTCACCAACTGACACCCCCAAATCCTTCTTCTCAAGTCTGCATACAAATTCTGCTGTATCTGGAAACAATCAGTGGTAGCAAAATCACAGTTAATGTAATGTGTTCATCTGTCATGCTATCTGTCATGTAATGCTAATTACCTTACATCACTTCCTATTTATGAATGATTTCAGATTTGTGCAGGCAGCCTTTCACAAAATCAGAGTTGTTGGGGCTGGAGGGGACCTCTGGAGATCACCTAGTCCAACTCCCATGTTAAAGCAGTAGTTTTCAGTTTTTAATCTAGCAATAAACATTACCGGTATCTGAGTGATTATCGAAAAATTAAGTATATTGAGAATTGGTTCAGTGTGGGTGAATTTCTTGATTTGCAAGCAGGGTGATTTTTTTGAGGCCTGAATTTTGAATTTTGCCACCTTGGTTCATCCCCCATAAAATTTTGTTGTCCATGGATTCTTTAGTTGAAAAAGTGTAGTGATGGAATGTGTTACTCAGTCCGGAATAATAATTTAATCTGATTATTCCCTCATTTGGCATGTTTATAATCTGAAAACAATACCTCTTGAGCTAGGTATTCTCTGGTCAAGCTCTTTAAAAGAAGGAATGCTTCTTTGAGAAAATATTGGTGCTTGGGGAGTAACATAGAATCATAAAATAATTAAGATTGCAAAAGGCCCCTAATGTCATCTAGTCCAGCCATCCACCCATCCCCACCATGCCCACTAACCATGTCCCTCAGTGCCACATCTGCATGCTTCTTGGAACTCTTCCAGGGACAGTGACTGCAGCCTGTGCCACTGCTTCACCACTCTTTCTGAGCTGATCTTTTTCCTAATTTTGAGACCTGACAGATGCATTTACCCCCCTCTGCTTAGTGTGAATGTAGCTATGGTTGAGACAGCTTGTCATTTTTATAGACTTTTTCAAGACTGCCAACCCAGTTAGTGAAAGTGACAAATCATTAGAAAAGAGAAAGAAGCATCTTGTTTTCTCAAGATACCAACTATTTCCAGGCTGTTTTGTTTGTCAGTGTTTTCACTTCCTTTCTGGTTAGTTCTTAAGTTTGGGTACTTTAGCCAAGTGGTAGTGAAGGCCCCACTGATCCAAGGGCTGGAACACCCTTCCTATGAGGACAGGCTGATAGAGCTGGGGCTGTTCAGCCTGGAGAAGAGAAGGCTTCAACAAAATAATTTTATACATTTTCAGCTTTATATTTTCAGCTTTATGTTGTATTCTTGGACAAGTGGAAATGAGTGACACGGAGCTGTGACATACCCCAGGTGATGAGGAGAACCTGTATGGTACTGATAGTGAAGGACAGGGTGCAGACAAGATAGAACGGCTGTGGTGTTGAGTCAGGGGTAAAGCACTACGGTTGGTCTTCAGCGTCTTTCCACATCTTAGTGCTGTGATTTACAAAGCCGTTGCTTCCATGAGGTGGATGACACTGCAAGTGGCTTAGTTCAGGTGCTTAGATCTCAGCATTTGCTAGCTGATGCCACAGGAAAATACTTAACCTGTTGCCCAAAGATAGTGTACCTGTAGGCTGCTCTATATGAGTAGATAGTGCTGAAACTTGCATGGTTATAGAGTCATCCTTGTGATTTTTCTGTTGGACTTTGTTAAAACTGTTGTAAGCATCAGTCCTCATGTGGCAGAGCGTCAGAGCTCGTATGGCTTGCTGGTCTTCGGCCCAGTGTGAGACCAGCTTTCCCACAGATGGCTGTTGTGAGGACAAGGATGTGTATAAGAGTATTTCCCTGGCATGATGAGATTAACCAAACGGGTTAGCCAGTTAAGATAGAGCAGCAGGAACAAGTGAGGGTTTTTTTTTTCTTCTTTCTTGTTATTGTGTTGCAGTTTGAGTGTAACTTCTTTTTTGTGGAAGGTTCTGGCAAGTTCATCTTTACGAAAGAAAGCAGAAATTAAGGTGGAGTGTAAATATATACGGGTGCTCTTCATTGTTATATGTTTGAGGAGGCTTTTACAGTTGTTGACAGTGGAGAGAAGATGAAAACCATAATGATCACATGTCAGTACTGCTCTTCTTGCTTACATTACATGTCCTCAAGAACAAACCTGTGCTTGTTTCTGTAAAAAGACTAAAGATGTGCTTGAGATGAGATCAAGAAAACCAAGCTGGTCAGCTCTGCAAAGAAAACCTGTGCTTGCTGTGGTTGTGGACTTCTTTTTTTTTTTTTTGCTTTCTTAATTATTATTTTTATTTTGCAGTCGATTTTACATGCATTTGCTCTTTAGTATATTTTGGATAGCTTATGTTTTGGATAGCCTTTGTTGTTTGACCATGGAAAAAAAGATGAAATACATTGCATGGTCCAGGAATCTGCTGGTACACCTCACCCCAGTATCAACAACAGTGGAACAATACTTAATACAACGTTTTTTTTCCACCAGTGCAGCATTGAAATCTAGTTAAAATAACCATGTTGGAACTAACTGTAATGTGTGGGCTGTTCTCATTTTTTAATTTTACATTTTGTGCATTGTTTTATGTTAAGGCAGCTCTATTTTTTTTTTCTTTTGCAGGGACAGCAGTCTGGACAGTGTGCTGCTTAGTCTTAGTTTGAAACTGTTTTATTTTCTATCAGTTCTTGCTTTTTCTACTTGTGTTTTCAGAACGTATGCTAACAAATTGAGGAAAGAAAATTAATCTATGAATGTTTTTGTAGGTGTCTTTGAGCTGACTTGTGCCATCGAATACTAAGATTGATAAAATCATGGATATCTACACAAGGGCTCAGGGCAGTCGAATGAAACCAAGAATATCAGTGAAAAAGGTAATTATATTTAATAATAATAATAATTTCATAGATTTTTCAATCCTTAGTGCAGCAGTCTGATAATGAACTAAGTAAACTTTTAGGTTTACATGGTGAGTTTTCTCCCCCCCTTTTTTTTGTAAGTTTTAATTTTGGCAGGCTGATGTTTCAAGGAGGCATAAAACTGCCCTTGCTTTATGCATTGGCTTATTTATCCCAGCAGAGTACAGCCTGGGAGACAAAATACTGTAGAGAAGGGTTGTGCATGCTTTTTTTCCTCTCTTCCTTTTCAGTTTTGAGGTGGATACAATGAAAGTGATGTACTTGAATGTTAAATTTTGTCTTGTTTGTGGAGAATAACTTTTTTATTTTAAGCACACATTCAAATTTACGTGTATGAAATATATAGCAGTCAGTGACAACTGCCCAATGAAGTCTGTGTTAGGCTTTACTGTAATATTTTTAGTTTTGTTTTTTTTTTAATCTGGCCTATTCTTAGGTTTACATGAATTTCTGGGCAGTGCTTCCTCTCTGATTGGAATGGTCGTCTGAAGTACTAGTTTTGTGAATTGCTCTGTTAATTGCCATTAAGCATTCTGGACTGTGTGATTCTAGCAACACGAGTTCTTAGGTGTCTTGCAGAATTCTACATTCCCATGCAGCTGAACTCTGATGTTTTTATCTCTAGCTGCTTCCTCTTGATTTTTCCCTGGGGCATAACAAGTTTTAGTTTGGCTCTTCAATTCTTTTTCACAGACCCAGGCAGTGGTCTGATCAGGATGACAGTATATTTCATAGAATCACAGAATGGCCTGAGTTGAAAAGGATCATAATGATCACCTAGTTTCAATCCCCTGCTGTGTGCAAGGTCACCAACCACTAGACTGTCTTCTGCTGGTTCTCAGCTTGCAGTCTGATTCCTGTCTTCGTAATACTTCATATGAAAATGTTGCACTGCATGGTTGTGGCATTTGCATTTAAAGCAGAAGTTTCCACTTTCACAGAATGACTTGAGAATATTCAGTTTATTTTATTTATTTTTCCTGACTTTATGTGAGATCAGGAAGAAGTCTCCTGATACCTAAGTGCAGAGTAAACGTGATCTGCCAGCTTTGGACTTGATTTTTCAGTAGGCAGTGGAAGAAGTGAGAGTTTTTCAGGTACTGTCATTGATCATGGAAATCTCCTTCTGCTAGCTTTGCAAAAGCAGTTTTCTCCAGTATTGCAAACGTCTTGCAGGTTTGTAGGTTGTATGAAATGTTAGAAAGCAGTTATTTAGTTCATTAGACTAAGTAGTGTGCAGTTTTTTCTACAGTGCAGGATCTGTAACTAATGACTCCTTGGTTTCCTGGCTACAAAGGGAGCAATGCAAAACTTCAAATGATTCTTTTGAGCTGGAAGAGTGGTGAGGATTTTCATTGTTCAGGTCAGTTTTGCTCTGCATGCTTTTTAGGGTATTTTTCTTTTCTGCTACTTTGACTTAGTGCAGATTCCAAGCACACTCTTAAAGCAGACTTTCCTGTCAGGCATCTGAGGAAGGAGTATATGAACCTATCAAGTAGTTTTCTTTTGTTTCTCTTGTCAGTATGTAGAAGTATATTGTTAGTGGTTGCACTGTTTACAAAAGCAAACCATATCCTTCTGTTGAAGATGACCTCTTGTCCTTACGTACATTGATCTGCTGATCTTGAGGACTTGCTGCTTTTCAGTTTTCAATTTAATTTGGTGTGGTTGAGAAAGCTTGCTTTCATTGCCTGTTGGGTTGGAAGTTTTCTCTGAAGTGAAATCTCTGTCGAAAGCATGATTTTGATAATAGAAATAAGGCTATCAAATGTAGTCTTACAGTTAATGAGGGGAAATGAAAACAAAACCCCACAAAACAAAACACAACAAAAAGCCCTACTGCAGATTTCAAGTCTTTTTGAAGCATACTGCTTTGATGATTCCAAATGTTAGGAATTCCACTACTCACACCAAACTTATACCTGTTTGTTCACAGGTATCATTATTCTTCAGCTTGTTCTTTTCCCTTTGGCTGATGTTCACCTTCATGATGTATTTACAGTTGTAGATATGTTCTCTGTTAGTCTTGATTTTTTTTTTTTTTTTGGAAACTGCAAGCTAAAGGTTTAGTCTGCTTTTGTATGAAAGCCTCTGTGTTCAGTGATTATCCTTCATCTGTGCTTGTTGTGAGTTAATCTTCTTTTTACATGAGGATGATATGGTACGTGCAATTACAGAGGACGCACTCAGCCACTCAAACTATGTCAGTTATCCTGCTAAAGGATGCTTACTGGGGTCACGTTTGCTATTTTCAGTGCTGCATCATACTGATTGTTTGCTTCACTGTCGTGACGAAGAGGTGGAGCCACATATTTTGTTTCCCAGTTCTATTTAAAAGCTTGCTATTAGTTTTAAAGGCTGTAACCTTGCACTTCATATGTTTGCATTTTATACTGCTCTCACCTTGAGCTTCCTGTATGTGCTGCTCTTGTTTCAATCAATGATACCTGCTTACTTCGTATTATCAGATTTCATCTGTACCTTTACTCTTTTTTTTTAATAATAATAATTAATATTGATGATACTTGACCTCAGTTTCAAGATAAGTTATGAGGACACTGGTTATTGTGTTGCTAGCCCATATCTATTACCTTCTGAAAAAACAAAAACCTATACTGCCAGGCCTTCATATAGCCTCTTATGACAGTTCTACCAGACCTGAGGGAGATCTTTTTCTTATTATTGCACATTTCTTCCTTGCTCTCTTACACCCAGTATTCTCCAAAATCCTGAATTTTCTAACTTAAACTACAGTAACTCTTGACACCATACCTTTTTTTTTCTCGTTGTCTATCCTGCGTTTTCTTTAGGATATTAAACTAAGGAAAAAAATATGTATATATGAAGTGTGTAATAATTACCTACTCTAAGAAGCAGAGGATAATTTTCAGTTTTTATCAGACTGGGTCATTGTTGGGTTGCAGGGAATTTCCAGGTCATATTGTCTGACTTTTTTATTACATAGTTTTGAGTGTTGAGACTGATTAAATTGTTGTATAAGCTGAAAATGAGCTATTTCATCAAGCTGATTTGACTGCTCAAGTGACTTTTTCTGTCAGATGGATGGGTGAGAGTCTGCTTCTAAATCTGCTAGGGGAGAGCCTGTCAGCAGTATCAGCATTGCAGCCACCTGTAAATCTGGATGATCTGGAGGATCAGAAACATTGTTTGCATACCTTGGAAAGTATAAAGATTCATATGTATTACAGTAACTGCAATTAAATACGTGGGTACAAAGTTAGAGATGCAAGTAGGGATTATTTGAATGACCTCCAAGGTGCCCTAAATGCATGTCAAAATGTTTCAGTTACTGGTTCTTACTTTTCCATAGATGTGGCTGATTTGACTGCTTCAATATTACTTGGCCTTTGCTGTAAGTCTAGTAATCCCAGCCTTGCTTGCTAACATTTTGAAATGTTTTGGTTATTTCAGGGGTCCTGAATTTTGTTTCTGTCTTAGTAGTTTAAAAATGCTTTCCTAATTTTATATTGTTATGAGCACAAGTGTGGTGATACTGATGGTATCAGTTGGGCTTCCAGTGTATTAGTACTTAACACCATTGTTTTTAAGAAAAACAGCTCTTTCCAGAGCCTTAATTATGGTAAGTAACATCAGCTTTTACCATAAAGGGATTATTTTTGCTGTGGGATTATGAGAAATGCAAAGCTTTCCCTGACTAAATTTGGTTCTCTGATACTTCTGCTGTTGTTTAAGAAGCTGTGCAGATTTGAAATAGCTTAAATTTGATGCATTTCTCACTTAATTTGTAACAGGGCAGAATAAATAACTGGGTCAACAATGCATAACCAAATCATAATCTCATTTTTACTTCTTAACCTTTTCGCTTGCTAGGGGACAGCAATTTTAAAAGCCAAAAGGAGAAAATATTACAAGAAATAATTACAAGGAATTAAGTTATTTAATTTTGATAGAATGGGGAAAGAAGATATGTAGAGGGTTTCTTTTTTTCCCTTTGGCTTGTTTTCTTTCCTTGTGACTGCTGAAGCCATCTCTCTAATATTTCATGGCTAAATTAGCTTTTCATGCTTTTTAAGGAAAACCTGATGGAAAAGTTCTGTATACAAGCTCTGATGCACAGAGTGGGTGGGCCTTCAAATTTCTTCTTGGATTCATCTTTCTTTTTTTTCCCAAATCTGCACTTTCTTTGATCTTAGGATCTTTTAGGAGAAAGTTTAGGATCTTTTAGGAGGAAGTGTTTCACGCAGATGGTGGTGGTGCACTGGAACAGGTTGCCCAAAGTTTGAAACAGTGCTTAGAATAAAGAAATTAAGGAGGGGCCTAGAAAAGCCTCTTCAAAACTGAAAATAACTTCTTGTCTTTTTTTCCTCCATTGTTTTTCAGAGCTTTGGTGAAGGTGTACTGCACTCTATGGAGTCACTGCTGCACAGCAGAAAAGAGTTATGCAGTGTATCAGCAGAAGAATGTTTAAGTTGGGAAGAACAAGATAACTTCATTGAGGTTTGGCATAACCTAATCTTTTATGTATGTTTTTTGGTTATGATGTAAGATGATCTATCTTGTAGCATGCAGGATAGTAAATGTGAACAGTGTTGCAACTTACTGACAATTAATTCCTTGCCCCATGTTGCTATTCTTGCATTCAGTCCTTGAAGTCCTGAAAATAAGTGTAACGTTTCAAGATGATGTTTCTCTGCTTTGTAGGAGTTGTGAAACTAAATAACAAGACATGTAGGTAAGTTTTGTAGGAATGGTGTGACTGGATGCTCAGCATTTGTGAGCATTCCTGTGTTCAAGTTGTACAGATAGTACCCTAATGAAGTAGCATTTTGGTCCAAGTCTGAAGATGAAAGCTAGTGGACTGCCTTGTGCTCAGTGTTAAAAGGTAAAGCTCCAGCATTGCAGATCAGGACTTCTGTGACATGAATACATATGGGCCAAAAGCTGAACCAAGTCTGGTGATGGGGGGGGGGGGGGAAAAGAAGAGTAGACTCAGAGAGAATTCAGAAGTATCTCAGTAAATTAAACCTTGTGCTGTGAAGACAACTAGATCTGTTTGAGTTACAAAATTTAAGACCAATTTCTCCAAATAGAAACCAAAAAGGTAAGAAGCACTATGTAATGTGTATCTCTTAAGAGCTGTAGAAGACTACTGAGCAGTTGACAGGCCTGACAAGGAGCCTTATAGGAGGGGAGCAAGACCTGAACTGATTAGGAAGAAAAGCTGAAAGATGGGAAAATGAAGCAATAAAAGACTTAGGAAACTATTAAGGAAGGATAGTAATTGGATAAGGAGTAGGTGGAGGGAAAGAAGCAGACTGTAGAGTCAGCAGAAAATGAGCTAGGATCATCTGGACAACCCCAAGGGTTTTTGGACTTTCCTTTTTTTTTTTTTTTTTTTTTTTAAGCAAATACCTGGCAACAATTAGAATGATGGTCAGTGATGGTCCCTAGGGAGAAAGATAGCTTACTATGATATGTAATTACCTTATTAGCTCAAGCAAGTGAAAGCTTTCTGGTTGAAATGTAAGAGTTGATGGAAGAAACACAAAACAGGTGTTTGGTTTTTTTTTCTTCATTCAAGTGTACAGGGTAAGACATCTATTTACAGAATAATGTTAAAAAAAACAAGTTCCTAGGTCTGTGAACACAATTGCTTAAAATTAAAAAAATTTTATTTAGGTTTCCTATGCCATTTCAATTGAGCTTATCTCTGTGGATTCTGGTAAGCTTCAAATACAGTGTTACATACACTAAAGGAAAGGCTTCTGTTACTGATTGTCAGTCCTTCTGGAAGGATTTCCAGCCTAACCACCAACATTTTAAACATCTGTACTAGTTTCAGGTCTTAAAGGTGTTAATTTTTTTGTGAAAACTGGAGATTGAGCATAATAAATCTAGAGGTTGTAATTGAGACAGAAATTAGTAGACTCAGCTGTTTCTTTGATGGCAAAGTATTCTTTGGGAGAGGAAAAGGTTCATAATCATTATTTTTGAGGAAGAGGAAAGGACCTGTAGGAAGACAAAAGAGCATACGCCCACTAAAAAAACATCCTAACTTCAGCAAACCGTAAAGCCTCCCAAAATGTTCTTCAGAGAAATGTTTTCCCTCCAAGTCTTTAAATTGCTAGGCCTCTTCTTCTGTTCATACAGTAGGTGTTGTGCAGATGAGGTGTTGGAATTGAAAGGTGTCTTCAGATACTGTATGCTTAAAAGATGTAGGAGCTTAAGGGTATATCACTGAAAAAGGATCATTTAATAGCACAGAGAACATGAAGCTAGAGAACTGTGATTTGCTAAGAGCCATTTAGAATGCTACTGCAAAAGAGTTCATTTAAGATTTTGTTGTAATTGAGATAAAGTGGATGCAAACAGGAAGATTTTTGTGGGAGGCCAACGTAGTTGCATGATACTACCTGAAATAAGTAAGAATTCTTAATATTTTAACATGATTTCAGTTTGAAAGGTTTTTTATTCCCATGTGTGCTCATTCAAAACTCAGCCGCAGTACAAAGCAGTTGTTTTTCAGCCATTTATTTTTATAGCTCTTTCATAGTTTCTCTGTATGCACAGGTAAGTTGCTGATTCAGTTAATTAGTGATTATAAACATAGAGTTGTTCTTTGCTGGTTTTAGGCATGAGAAGCATCTCACTAGCACAGTCTTAATGTGAACTGTGACCCAAATACTTAAAAATCACTTATTCAATTGCACAGTGCTCTGAAATAATTGAATCCCAGCCGCATCAACTTCAACTCCAAACATGGAGTCATAGAATCTGTAGAGTTGGAAGGGACCTCTAGAGGTCATCTAGTCCAACTCCCTTGCAATGAACAGGGACACCTACAGCTAAATCAGGAGTTCAGACCCCATCCAGGCTGACCTTGAGTGTCTCCAGGGATGGGATATCAACCACATCTCTGGGCAACCTGTTCCTGTGCCTCACCACCTTCCCTGTAGAAGGTTTTACTTATATAGAACCTAGATCTACCCTCTTTATGTTTGAAACAGTTTTTCTTTGTTCCATCATCACAGACTCTGCTAAAGAGTCTGTCCCCTTCTTTCCTGTACCTCCCCTTTAGACATTGAATGGCTGCTACCAGTCCGCTTCAGAGCCTTTTCTGAGGCTGAACAGCCCTAGTTCTTTCAGCCTGTCCTCATGAGAGAGGTGGTCCATCCCTGGGATCATTTTTGTGGCCCTCCTCCTGATATGCTCCAGCATGTCCATGTCTCTTCTGTACTGAGGACTCTACATCTGAATGCAGTACTCCACGTGAGGCCTCACCAGCACAGAGTAGAGGGGCAGGATCACCTTCCTTGCCCTGCTGGCCACACTTCTTTTGATGCAGCCCAGGATATGTTTGGCCTTGTGGGCTATAAGGGCACACTGTTTACTCGTGTTCAGCTTTCCTTTCACCACGGTCTTTTTTGGCAGGACTTTACTGAGTCCTTTCACCCTCCCCCAGTTTGTATTGGTAGGAAGGGTTGCCTTGACCCAGGTGCAAGGTATTGCATTTGGATTTGCTGAACTGCATGAGGCTCACCTGGGCCCACTGCTTGAGCCTGTCTAGTCCCTCTGAATGGCATCCTAACCCTCTGGTGTGTTGACTGCACCCCACAGCTTGGTGTCATCAGCAAACTTTGCCGAGGCTGCACTCAACTTCATTGTTAGTGTCACTGATCAAGATTGAAGAGTATCAGTCCAGGCACTGACTCCTGTGGGACAGTACTCATCACTGATCTCCATCCAGACATTGAGTTATTGGCCACCACTCTCTGGACTTGATCCTGCAGCCAGTTCTTCATCCCTTGAACAGTACACCCATTAAATCCATATTTTTCCAATTTGGAGAGGGGGATGTTGTGGGATACCATGTCAAAGGCCTTACTGAAGTCCAAGCAGGTGACATTGGCAGCTCTTCCCTTGTCTGTTCATGCAATAGCACTATCATAAAAGGCTGTTAGTTTGGTCAAGCAGGATTTACACTTGGTGAAGCCATGCTGGTTTTCCCGTATCACCCCCCTGTCTTCCATGTGCTTTAGCGTAGCTTCTAGAAGGATTTGCTCTGTGATCTTTCTCGGGACAAAGGTGAGACTGACAGGTTGGTAGTTTCCAGGGTCATCCTTTTTACCCTTCTTAAAAATGGGTGCGATGCTGCCTTTTTCCACTCACCAGTGTCTTCACCTTATTGCCACGATTATTCAAATATCGTTGTGAGTGGCTTGGTGACTACATCAGCTAATTTCCTCAGGACTCTGGGATGCATCTCATTGGAACCCGTAGACTTGTGGATGTTCAGGTTCCTCAGGTTGTCACAAACATGATCTTTGCTTACAGTGGGAGGGACGTTACTTCCCCTGTTTCCTCCTTCCATACCAAACATTTTAGGGCTGTGTGATGGGCAGTTATCAGAGAAGACCATGACAAAAAGTACCTCAGCCTTCTCCTTGTCTGTTGTTACCCACCTTGCCTGTGTCACTCACTAGGGGGAATAAGTCCTCCTGGACCTTCCTTTTCTGGTTGAGGTATCTGTAGAATCCTTTCTTCTTCTTGGCACTTCCTGCCAAGTTTAGTTCATGCTGGGCTGTGGCTTTCCTGACCCCATCCCTTCTTAGCCTATCAGCTTCCTAATACTCTTCTCACATCAATGGATGTGTTAATATTTGTGCTCCAGTTCTTACAACCTTGTTTTGAAAATAAAAGCTGTGTATTTTTAGTAGCACGCAGTTATCCAACTGATTTTTCATTAGGGAAATATTAAATGAAAATGAGAAGATCTGACATCTGAAACAAAATTTTCATAGTTGAATGTAAAGTAGATCATAAGCTGATGCCAAAGAATGAAGATAAGACAAAATGCTTAATGCCTTTGATCTTTTAGCCTTGAATGAAATGAGATGCCTGTAAGCAGAATAGCAGAAAGCAATAAAATACCCCTGTCCACAAGTCCCCAAACCCATAATATAGTTGACGTTTCAGACATATAGCAGGTTCTTGAGCCTTACAAGAGCTTCTTAGTGCTTGAATGCTCTAATCCTTTTACTTTAGAGGGTCTGTCTACTGGGGTATGGCATGCAGACACACAGCTTAAGTCATCTGCTGTGTTTTGGCCTAAGGCTAATCAATTTACTTGGTAAATTGTCTGTGTTTGCGTTGTGATCTCTTCAGAATATCCAAACGTGTCATAGTTTGTTAGCATGGACAGATTTCAGATGAGAACTGGTTTATACGTGTCCAGCTTGAAGCACTGATCTTTGCAAAATCATCCTTATTTTAACAGACTTAATGGGATGTATATGTGTTGCTAAATTTCAGCAAGCAAATAGACCCTAGAAAGAAGTGAACTTAGTGGGTTTTACAAGTTGTATGTGCACCTCAGTCTGATCTGGTCTTTCAAAAGTCAAATACCATAGCGTTACTATGTGCATGTGCAGTATTTTTTAGGCAAGAAGTGCTACCCTAATGTGTGAGTTTTGCTGTGGCAGAATGAAGATTTATGGTAGAAATGTTATGAGCTAACAGTTTTACAGAAAACTACAGAGTTATTTTCTGAATTTCAGTATGTTCATGTTTTTATTCTACAGATTACATTCATAGGTTTTGCTGAAGAGATGGGTACTGCTCATTTGCAGGTATAGTATATCTGTCTAGATTGGAAAATATAATGTTTTTCAGCACTGGTTATTTCTTGTAAGTACTACGTAGATTTTTGGACAGAGGAATTGTGATGTTTGAAATGTGTTTACTTAGTCCTCTAAGAGCATGTGGAGGTCCACTAAGGACCATTGTTGGCTAAGTCTTTTGTCTGTAGTTGCATACCTTGTACGATGTCCAGTTGCTTTTCAGTGCTTCCAAGATTCTCCTCTGTGACCTTTAACCCTCTTCTGTTTCATGAGAAACACTGGAAATTCTTTGGAAGAGCGGGTTAGATGTATGGATTGAATTATTGTATTATTAAATTACTAGTGGAATTGAGCTTTATACTAGAGCTTGAGAGAGTAAGTGGTGGATGGGTTAGTAAATAAGGGATAAAAGAGAAACTTTATCAAAATTAGCAGCTGTTGGAGGGGGTATGAGATTTAAAATGAAGCAACAAACAATAACTGTTCATTTTCATTCATTTTTATTTTTCTTGCTTTGTATTCTCAATTTGTTCCTATGTTAAAACCAGGAGCTGTCAGCTGTTTCTGTAGAACTTCCAGATGTTCTGAAATCGCTTCAGTTGTGCAAACTAAAAGAAAATGAGGTTATTTTTCTAAAAGATGTAAAGAAAACCTTGACAAAACCCTGTGTCATGAAAAACCAGGTAATTCTTTTGTTGTCTTGCATGTCTGATGCACAGAAGCTTTATATTTGGCCTCTTAAAGAGTTTGGTAATACTGCAGCTTGTTTTATTTTGGGATCATGGTAGTATTAGTGTTCTGTATTTCTACATTTTTTGTTTAAAATGAGTGTTAGATAGTATTAGTGCAAATACTACGGTGCTGATCGCATCCTTCTGCTCAATTGCTGTCTCTTTCACTGCCAATTTGGAAAGAAGATGAAACTTGTCAAATTGCCTATCTCAGCTCTGCTCAAATATGGCTTCTATCCTCTGCAGACTCTCTTCATTTAAACAGAGATGCCAAGAAATTATGAGAATATCGGGTCCTCATAAAAGTCAGTGGGTTCTTCTCCAGTTACAAGTTTGTTGTCAAAGCAAAAAACTTTCAGTTATATTGACTTGCATGTTAAATCAAATTGCATTACAAAATCTTGAGGAAATAAATACCCTATTAGTTGAAATACTGTTCAATATAAACAGGCTTTAAAATTGTGTTTTTCAAATAGTTTCATGAGAACATGTCAGAATTGTATTTTACAGCCTTTTTTGTTTTATTGTAAAAATGTATTCAAATGGAGAAGTCGTTAAAATGGATAAGTAATTTTAACTATTGCTTTACACATTTATTTTCTTTAAAAAAAATTCTGAATTGCTTATTGTTGATTAAAATATATGTCAGTTTCATCTGGGACACAGTTATTTTCTTCAGAGTATCTGGTGTGTGATGCTATGTTTTGGTTCTAGGAGAAAAGCAGTGTTGATAACACAGTGATGTTTATCGTTGCTGATAAGCAGTGTTGTACAGAGCTAAGGCCATTCTCAGCGAAGGGCCCAAGCTGCTGTGAGGGAACAGAATTAGGGCAGCTAACTAAAACTGGCCAAAAGGGTATTCCATACCATATAAAATCATGTAGAAGGAGTTATGAAGGGAGCGGGAGTTCATCTCGTGTGCTTCTGCTGCACAAGGGGTGCTGAGAATTGCTTGCTTATCACTTGTTATATGCGTTCATATATGTATATTTATAAGTATGCATACATATACTTTTATATTTATATATAAAAAGTATAATCTGTTTCCTTTTCTTTATCTTAGTAAATAGCTTTATCTCAATCCATGAGTTCTACTTTTTTTTTCCTCCTGATTCTCTCCCCTGTCCCACTGGGAAATAGTGGGAGTGAGCAAACAACTGTGTGGTGCTTAGCCACCTGCCAGATTAAACCACAACAATATGTTGAAGGAATCCTTTGTCATTCCCGACAGTTGAGATTATTCCAAGACTTTTTTTGTTTTCTTTTTTCTCTTTTTCAAGAACCAACTTCCTGAAGTGCTTTGTGTGATGCGACTGGCTCCTTCATTCCCAAAGATCAAAGCGGATTATGTATTTACCTTGCTGAGCAAGTATACCATGGGTGTAAGACACACAGTTGAAATAAACTCACTGCAAAAACATCAAACAGAGACATCCCGGGCAGAAGATGATGACACTAATCAGTCAGTTTCTTCAATTGAAGATGATTTTGTCACTGCTTTTGAGCAGTTAGATGAAGATGAGCCTTCAAAGATGCAAAGTGTTGGTAAGTGCTTGCAGAGTTGTAGAAATTGTTAATTGATGTTTAAGCTGTCAGGATTTCATAAGAAAAGAAGTGTAAGTAATGAGTAGTGTTGTTTTTTTGTGTAGTGATATTATACTACTTTAAATGCAATTTGTTGCTGTTCTTTTCACAACAGCTTATTAAGTCATAAACCGGAGATTCTAATCTTCACGTCAGATGCTAATAAAACAGAATCTTCTACTTTATGTGCTTAAAAAAAATACACAAATTCATAAATTTCAGGGAGTTGTATAGTGGGGCTTTGGGAAAAAGTGTAATGTTGCTTTAATTAAGAAAGCAAGCTACTATACTGCAACAAAGCAAGTCCAGACATTGCTGTTCAAATCTGTTGCTAGTGTAATTTCTGTGTAAATTCTTGTTTTTGAAGTAGTAACTATTTTTTCTTCCTTAGGGCCATGCAACTCTACTTCTCGAAGCCATCGAGATGCTGCTTCACAGACCATCCCTGGTCGGTGTTCAGAAGCTGTGGACTCGAAGATCCGTTTGGGTTCTGGATGTCAAAAGTCATCATCTGCTAGATCTTCTGCTTTGTTTGATGTTTTGAGACTTAAGGAACTGTCCTCAGTAAAAAATTCAGTTACAACTTCAATTTCTGATCCTTGGATACAAAAGAGTTTCTATAAGCCATATAACCCTTCTGATCAAGGTGTAAATTTTTTATGTAAAACGCTGTTTTCCTCCTCTCCAGCTGAATCTTCTGAGTCAAATTGTTCCAGCCCAAGCCCCATTATCTTCTTAGATGAAGAAGGTTATCAAAAAAGCTTGAAGGCAAAACTCCAGCTGCCAAAAATTCCAGTAGTGAAAGACGGTATTGAGGATTCAGACTCAGAAATTAGTGAATTTTTTGATAGTTTTGATCAGTTTGATGAACTAGAACAAGCCCTAGAAAAATCTGTTAAAGTTATTAGGGATCCCATCTTAGGGAATCTCTCTCAGAAAAGGAGGACTGCCCATGAACATTTGTGTTCTGCTAACATTACAATGAATCCTCAGAAATTCAAGTTTGATCGTCCTACTCTTCCGGCCAATGTAAAGAAACCAACTCCTCGTAAACCAGAATCACCATATAGCAGTGTCTTTGATGTCCCAGATTCCCCTCGACCAGTTAAAACATCAGGGGAAGAGAGTGGAGGCTTGTTCAGCCCTATTAGGTCGTCAGCATTCAGCCCACTAGGAGGCTGTGGTTCTTCTGAATGTTTATGTCGTATCAGTCTTGGTGGAGATGAGACGAGTCAAAACCACCATGATGCACTTTATAATACTTATTCAGAATACGCTGATACTGTTTCATTTGAAATATTGGGTTCTGTTTTTCAATCTGACTGTTCGTCAGAACTTGGAGGAAATGATTCCAGATGCAACAGGATTGCTTTGAAAGAAGATGATGATCAAGCTGCAGATCTCAGAAAGAAAACTGGCAAGGAGCCAGATAAACAAGCAAAATCTCAACATAAGTCATCAATGATCAGAGATAGCATTCAAAAATTTGCAACTGACTTGGTTGAAAAAAGTTTGGGCAGTGCTTTTAAGGACCTGCAGAAAGGTGTTTCTTCATGTACCAATGCACTTTGTCATTTGGCTGCTAGGTTGACATCTTCAGTCTTTCAAATGGCTTTCTATGAAATTGGAAGACGTAGAGCAATCTCCCTGAAGGAGCGTGCTATTAATGGGCTAGCAAGCTTTTTGGTGAGTGAAGCTATAACTGGTGCTTTGAAAGAACTGCGACATGTAAGAAAACAGATGTTTACCAATACTGTTGCTAGATTTGCAGCAGACCTTGCTGAAGAACTTGTGTTTGAAGGAATCATGGAAGTATGCCAGTTTTCCTATCCATCGACTCCTACATCTGCACAGCTTTCTTCATTTTCTTATGAAGATAAAGTGGTAAGATCCTATGCCAGAGATCTGTCTGAGTCTGTCATTCAGGAGGCTTTTATTGAACTATCTCAGGTTGATGTCACCTTCACAACGCAAGCAGCCATTAGTGTTTCCATGGACAATGTTAAATATGTGAGTGCAGAAAGTATGCTGGAATCAACACAGACCTCCACAGTTCTTCCTAATTTTAATGATAGGGTAGGACAGAATCCAACCCAAGATTGCAAGAAGGAATATACAGTACATCAAGCTCTATTTTGTACCTCTGGTGTTGTAAGTTCAATACCTGTTCCCTTAGCTGGAAGAGCTCTTTGTCATTATCAAGCTTCCTCTGATACTTGTAAAGCAAAAGTATGCACTGCTCCAATTTCTGATGACAGTATGAAAGTATACGAAGGCTGCAGTCATCCATTTTTCACAGGCAGAAAAAGAGAGGAGGAAATCTCTTCCTTCAGGAATATATACCTGACTTCGGATCACAATCAAAGTTTTGAAAATAATCCGTCACTCTTACATAACCAGAATGATACTAAACAAACAAATAACAGATCCGGAATGAGGAGTAACTCAGAATTAACAAACGGGTCAAAAAACATTAATAGTTTCTCTGGAACTATGGTAGATATGATAGTAAATGAAGCTTATGAGACCATATCCTCATCTAGAGTAACAAAAGCAGTGGAAGAGTATACAGATCTTTTAACAAGAAAAGTAGTAGATAAGAAACCTTATGTGCAACATAGTGGTGAAGATTTCCCCAAGAATGTGTTTGCGGATCACCTGGCCAAGTACATCATGAAGCAGTCTGTGGATGAAAGTAAAGCTGTGTTACGCAACGCTAGTGAAAATTTATCATGTAATGTGGGCTCACAGACTCATGCAGATATCAGTGGAAGAGAGCAATGTGTAATAAAGAAGCAAGAGGCTGAGAAACAAAGTAATGTTTCCGTAATTGTTGAACAACAGATGCCTTTGAATAATCCATGTAAATTGCTTACTCCAACTAATTCTGTTCAGTGTTTTTCAGAATCTAGAGATTGTTGGCAGGAACAAAAAGGATACAGATGTTCTTTAAAATCACCACCACCTTGCTCCACTGTGACTTTAGCTAGGCGTGTTCTAGAGGACGTGACTGAGGCAGGAAGCTGCTCGATGACGTACTTAAACAAGCCCTCAAAAAAACATGAGAGTCAAAAACCATCATCAGGACCCTTGACTTACAGGCAAGCTGATTGTTTTCTGCACACAAATAGCTTTTCTTCAGTGATGTCTGGCAGTGAAGATGCTTTGCAGATGGTTGATAAGTCAAGTATCAAAGATGGAAATAACAGTTTAACACCTGACACCCCCCCACCAACTCCTTTAGTACCGTGTCAAGCTAATTCTGAAAGAAACCTACGAAAACTGTCTAAGAAACTCAAGGGAGAATTAGCAAAGGAATTTGCACCTGCAACACCACCATCTACACCTTACAGTCCATCTGTTACAGGTTCATCTGAAATTGAACGTGACTCTTTGGAAAATGAGGAATTTATGCTGAAACTCATGCGATCACTTTCTGAAGAAGTTGAAAGTAGTGAAGATGAAGATCATTCTGAAATGATCATTGAGAAGGAAGAACGTTCAGAAAAAACTGTTCAGTATGCAGATTACTTAGCTAGTCATATAATTTCAATAGCAACTGAGATGGCAGCTTCCCATTTAGATGCTAAAACAAATGAAAGAGAAGCTAATAGACAGGTTCATTTGAGTATGCAAAACAAAAACTGTGGATATACTGCATCTGTAAGTACCCCAGAAGAGACATGCAGTTCTTTATGGAATTACGCAGGTGATATGGCAGGAAAAGTCATCAGTGAAGCCAAGAAAATGGTGAAATCAAGGCACTGTAAACTGTTAAAGTTGAAACGTGTTAACTGCCAAGTGGATTGCCTTTATCTGAGAAAAGGTGATAAGGATCATAGTTCAAAGGAGGAATGTGGCCAAGTGCAGGACCAGTGTCCTGGTGAGAGAGATTCATCTGTACTTTCTTTACCGCAAGGTCCAGGCATGATAGGTTTGACATCTAAGTACCCTAGCTGTGAAAGTGTGACTGATGAATATGCAGATCATATAATTCATGTTTTGAAAAGAGAAGGTGGTAACGCCGAACTGTTAATGGATCAGTATGCCAGCAGGCTTGCTTACAGGTCTATCAAATCAGGCCTACGGCAAGCTGCTAGGAAAACTAAATTGAGATGCAACAGAAAGATATTTCCTGGGCAAAGCGCACCGATGAATGGTAAACTAGAACTTACCAAAACAGTGAATAAAGATGCAGTACAGCAAGTGAAAAGTGGCATTCATCACTGTGTAGACCAAACTCATGAAAGAGGTATCAGCATGCAGAGAACAGAATGCATGGAATTGTTGCACTTTTCAGAGTCTCTTGCTTGCAGCATAACGCATGATGTCAGAAAGAAATTGAAACTATCGGGAGCGTGTTTGCCAAAATCTCTGACAGATTCCTGTCTATATAAAAAGACTGAATTTGAGGAAATTGCAGGGGATCTTATTAGAACAAGATTTCCTAGGACACTTCTACCTTTCTCCCCAAATCATAAACTGTATCATAGCACGGGCAGTTTGAATGAAAATAGTTACAGTGAAAGCATAATTCAAGCTATAGAACAGTACGCTAGAAAAGTAGCAGATGATACTCTAGAAATGGGTTTAGAATCTGCTGGTCTCCAGGTTGCTGAAAACAGAAAAAATGGGGATAGGCTTTCATATACTGAGAAACTGTCTCCTTTTTCTGGAACTGTCTGTAGATGCTGCAGTATGAAGGAACATCATTACTGTACAGAAAGTGTGTCTCATCACTTACCTCTGCAAGATTCTTCTATTCCAGTGAGGCATTTTCTTCATTGTAGGTTGGACAGTGTCTGCCAAAAACCAAGAGTCTTTCAGCTTGATATTCCTAAAATTCATGTTGATGTAGAACAGAAGACAACGTTCTCTGATAAGGTGGTTGCTGCGTCTGTCGAAAAAGCAGAGGGAGAGCTGAGTTATGCAAGTGTGGCAGCTGACAGTGGTATTGGACAAGATGGAGTCAGTTTTGCTGAAAGCCTTACTACTGAAATAATGACATCAGCTATGACTAATATCAGTCAGGCAGTTAACATAAGGTAATAATTCTCTTTTGTTGCAGTCTGTGCCAGAAGAATGAGGACTGTTAATACAAACGTTAATGTGTTTAGAAGTTTTTTATCGTTGTTGTTTTCTTTTAGAAATACAAATTTTATGTTCTGAGTACTTTGTTTTATTCGTATACTGGTATACAAATGATTCTTAACAAAAAAACCAAACATTTTTCCACCTGTGGGAGCTTGAAACAGATTTCTGCATGTTTCAGCGTGCATGTGTTCCAGTAGGTGGCTTTATATTTGGAGCTTACTATTTCAACTTGAAATACTATTATTTTTACCTACAGGAGATCCTTCAGGGTTTATTCATGCTTGAGCCGTGAAATAATTCTAATTTGTTCCCTTCTTGTATTTCCTTTCTGTATTGAAAAATATAAGTAACTTATTTTTGATTGTCAGCAGGCACATCTGGTAGCATCCAGACCAGCCAGTACTTGATAGAATGAAGAGTTTATTTTACTTATGAATGTTGTGATAGCATCCTTATTATTGGAAGAAAAGAACCTCTTACAAGATAACAGTTTATTCTGTAAAATAGTGATACAGTAGGCAAAGAACAGAGGTTCAGATTTTTGTATACTTAGCAAAGGCTATTTTACTGTTTCTTTAAGTAAGCCTGTGGATAGGGAATAGTGCCACCATAACTTTAGGGCAAGGAGCAGCTGTTTGCAATGCCAAATCATTTATTTTCCTGGTTTCTAGAAGGGCATCACAAGTAATTAAAGAGAACTTAGTGTGGCTTACGGCTGCTGTAGGTCTGAATTCCTTTCTTCAGGGTTTGGTGTCACATGCAGATTAGCTTCTGCCCCATAAGCATCAGGGGAAGATCTTTGGTTTTGGAGGTGATAGCTGGGGAGGACATTTGCAGAAAACCATAAGCTCTGTTTTAATTTGTACGGCCTTTCAATGAAGCCATGTAACTAAGAACTCCAGCAGTGTAGAAATTGTGTATCGTGACTCTGTACCGATGGGGTTGGATCCTTAATCTGTATGTGACAAACAAAAAAGTAACATGGTTATATTCTTCTCATGTTTTTACTGGTCTAGTATTAAATGTGGAGGTCGATGGCCCTGCCTGTGATCAGGGAGGTTGGAGATTGATGATCCTTGAGGTCCCTTCCAACCCGGGCCATTCTGTGTGATGCCTGCAGCATCAGAGCTGAGACTTTTTTAATTGCTTCTAAGAAAGTTCATTGAAATTTCTGGTTAGAAATGCAAAATTAAGGATTTTACTATTTTTTGTCTATGACAGCATGGAGATATTAAAATTTTAACATGACAAAAAATGTTCAAATGCTTCTTACAGCATCATCTAATGTATGTCTCTTGAGATCTTCGTTGTGTGGTGAAAGGAATGGCTGCTAGCACTGGTGAATAGATCTAGGGGGGAAGTTCATCTTTTATTATTATTGGGGTGGATTATGATTCCAATTCTAAGCTATATTTTTGCCTAAAAGTACTTGTGCTTTCTGGAGTGAAGCATTGCCAGTAATGAAAGCAAGGGAGGAGAAACGGCCAAAGTGTCCTGTGTTGAACAATTTCAAAAATGTCAATTCTTCTGCTTGAAAACTATACCTTGATCTGTAGTCTATAGACTAAAATGCATAGACAGTAAAACTGTTCTATGCTTTATAGCAAACAGTCTTTTGAATGAGAGAATTATCTGTGCCGTTCCCTCTGTCAGATTCATTTGGTTGCTCCATTTGTTTTGAGAAATTGGAAATTAATATCCTTGAAATAAGTGTTAAATTGTTGTAAATGAATTTAAACAGATTTGACGTGAAACGCAGTGATGTTTTTGTCTTAATTTTTTCTTTAGCACTGTTGGAAGAGAAGGATTTCACTCTGTTGAATCTGTTGTTAGCCAGCAGATGAGCCTTAGTATTGGTGATGATAGCACTGGCAGCTGGTCAAATTTAAGTTTTGAAGATGAACATCCTGATGAGAGCAGCAGTTTTCTTCATCTCAGTGACAGGTAACTATAAATATGTTAGCACAGTTATTACTGTTACCTTGGCATGAAGAAACGTGGTATCAAGTGCATGTTTTCTGTGGGGAGATGGGGGAAAGAAGCTTATTTTGTCTTCAATAAGCAATGTGGTTCATATGGAAGTGGCTCTAATGTTGTATTTTGAATTGATGTTTTCCTACAAAATATTTTCTTCACAAATATTTATAATACCTTAAGTGTAAAATAGGTTGTTTACTTTGTCACTTGCGTTACAGTTGCATCAAGTAACACTGTTTATATGTATAATTTAAATATTTGTAAAAGATGCAGATATTTAAAAATAGCATGTGTAAAATACAGTTTGAAAGTAGTGTTCATTTAGCTCTGCAATTAAAAATTAATATGTTTTATGCAAATTCATTTATTCTTGAGAAGAACAAATGTGCTTCATTTGCACGAGGAGCTTTAAACAGCTGTTTTTAGGGGTTGAATTTATCAGCTATTCTTACTGATGCTGCTTGTGTATTCATGTGTTACTAACCAGGAACTTACAGGTGTGCAGTACTGGAACTTGCCTGTTCAGGATAGTAACTTTTTTCACAGAGCTTTGTGCTGAAATTCCAGTGGCTGATTGACAGCCAGCTAAATTAAAACAGGAATTTTAAACATCTGCAACGTTTCTGTTGCCGGAGAAAATTATAGTGAGTTGTTGTCCCAGCTTCTTTATAGGCAAGATATGAGGAGTGAGTTAGCTTAGTTTTGCATTCACTTAAGTAGAATGTTCAACGCTTCAGATGGAAAAACAGCAGAAATGGGTGTTGTTTTTGTTTTTTTTTTACACTCATGTAATGTGCACATAGATTGTTTGGTACCAAACTGAAACTGATCAAACTGTAGGGCTTTTTTTTTTCATGTCTGGCTTAAGCAAATATTTTAATCAAACCAATGCTACAATTTCTTACTCGTACAACGAAATCTATGAAAGTAAATATTGCCTGAAAGATATTTTAATAATGCATCATCTGTTGAATGAGTGGAAATAAATTTGACTTACATGGTGGAATTCGGAATATAAGAAAAGAAGAATCAGCATATTGGCGGTTACAAACAGTGAATAAAATAGGAGTTAATTGATGCTGGAGAAAAAAAAAGATGTAAAGTCTGAACCTGTTATGCCCATGGTGTTTTTACTGTCATTCCCAAGACAGCTTTAAATGGAAAGAAAGTACTTTGTGCAATTTTAGAGACACTTTGTTCATTAGAGGAGGAATGACCTAAATCAGCATGTGACTCAGGGGAGAGGAGACATAATTTAGATGGCAAGGTGTTGACAGAAGAAACAGACATGCACAAATTGCCCACCTAGCTTTACAGAACCAGCTGTGGATTGTTAAAGGCACCTGTATGCGTTCGTGCTGTTGAGTTCTAGCAGGTGGATGTGAAAGGTTTGGGGGTTGTGGCTGTGAGCAAAAAGATGTTGGGGGGGGGGGGTTCTATCACAGAACAAGCTTCAGTAATAGTGGTATTAAACAGTGGTGTCTCAGTCCTAGGAAATAAGGAGTTATGTGGCACAGAGGATTTATTGCTTTTACATATATATATATTCAACATAAACTGTTTAATATAACAAAAGAATGTCATTCAATTATAGAGCATCATCATGCAATTACAGTAGCTTAAAGTGTAGGGTTTTCTCTAATGTTTTGGGGGTTTTTTTGTGTGTGGTTAGGTCTATCTATTTTAAAAATATTGCACTAATTATGTGTAAGCCATGTCAGTGCCAATTTGAAGCACGTGAATAAATACCCAGAGGCCCTGGGTAACCTGTGATCTAGCAATGTATGTCCTTGTTCACCGCAGGGGAGTTGGACTAGATGGCCATCAGAGGTCCCTTCAGACTCTAAGGATTCTATGATTCTATAATACACTTCAAGTAGCTTTGCTCCCTTGACAAAGGGAGCATTTCTTAATATGCATGGCTTTCTTGTATGTGAGAAGCTCCCTTCTGTCTTCTTTGTGCCTTTCTTGAAGTAGAAGGTATTATTGGGCCTTTTTGTTGTGTCAGTACTTACAATTGGGTAATACAGGGAGTAGTTATTTGGGTAACTGGGAGTAGTAAGCAAGTTTTTCTTGCAGGGAGCAGAAGCCCTTTCCAGGTTGTTGGCAGTATTGGATGGAAACTGATATTTGAGACTCCTTTAGCCAACAATTTGGAAATTATATTGATAGTAAGCCTGGAAATTCCATTAATGGTGGCTTAAAGTTGCAGAACACAGGATCAGACTCCTTAGAAAACAGCAGGAGGCAACTTGTAACATGTTTCAGGGTGGGAAAAAACTGACATTTTTTTCATAGAAGCTCTTTTGACAAGGTACATTCTCTCTTCCTGCATGATCTCAGGTCAATATAAAAACTGTGTTTCAGTACTTACAGAGGATTAAGCTAGCTGTTAGCAGGGGAGCAAGACAAGTTGGAAAGAATTATCAAAGCACAGTCTGTGTAGTTTTATTTGAATGGAAATGCCAATTAAAGTTCTTTTGTGGCCTTGGTAAAGTGAGTTACTCAGGGGAGTGTTCATACTGTTTGCTTTGCATTTTTTAATGCTGGCAGCTTAAGTTTAGAAATACAGTAGTATTAGGCTTTTTCTCTAGATCATTTACAGGTATAGGCATAGAGTTTTCCAGAATGTGGATCAGAGCTTTCAGATGAGGTTATACTTCAGAACAGAAGCCTCCTGCCTTTGACTGTATTGTGTGTGTAATACAAAATCTTGAAGCAGGATGATACAGTTCCTATATACATGATATGACATATGTATAAACAGCTTTTCTTTCTGGTAATTCTTACGGTGATTTGTGTTGAGGGGCAGCATGAAGCCTTATGGAAGCATTTATAATGCCTTTTTCTGTTTATTGCTTGTTCTGTCATTGCAGATCTTTATTTTTGAGACTGACTATGTTTTAAGATCCTGAACTAAAGGTCACATTACCAAAACAAAAACCAAACAAACCAAACCATCTTTTATGTTGCTATTATGTTATAATCACATGGTTAACTACATTGAACATACTGTATCTTCAGACCCAGATTGACCTGTAAAATATATAAACGTATCTTACCAGAACAATGCTATGCATGAGGCCATTCAATTAGGTTGTGAATAGTTTTCCCTTTAGTCTGAGAACTGGGGCACCTTTTACTTCCATTTATATTAACCAGCTACAATTCTCAAAGAGACTGAGCACAGAGTGTTGATACCAGTAGACTGTGTTTAAAATCTCATTTCTATCTATGTAATTCAGAACCGAGGTTAATACTAATACTTAATCTGTTCAGTGATAGCCTCAAACAGTAGCTTGAAAAATGTTCTTGACCAGATTTGCATCTCCTATGCAAATCTAACAGGTAATTGAAACATCTTGGTAACTGCCTTTGGTGCTGCTTTTTTTTTTTTTTTTTTTTTTGATTTGTGCATTTTAATAGGTTTATTTGCAACTCTAGGGCTGCTTTGATTTATTTGAAAGCTTCTGCTCTCTAATTTTATTTTTTTCCCCTCAGTTAGTATGTGTTCATACTGCAAGCTTGCTAACCTGCCATTATAGTGTGGAAATTAAATACTTAAAAGTGCTTAAATGCACCCACACTGAGAAGCAAAGGACATTGATAGGTGATGCTGTTACTGACAGCTTCTTGAAAGAGATCAATATCTGCCTCTTGAAATGTTCCCTTTCACCATTTATTGTTTTAAATTTTACTATTTGCTGTCAGCAGAATACGTGGAAAAGAGCTTTAGCAGTCCCACAAAACTTAGCTGAAGAGCTGCAGTAGGCAGGGTTGGAGGTTCATGATCCTTGAGGTCCCTTCCAACCCTGGCCATTCTGTGATTGTGTGCATCTTCTTGCAGTAGTAGTTCTCTAAAATGCTTCATGGCTTGTCCTGCCATCTGTAGTAAGTAATTCAGGCTTCTCAGGGTACTGATTGTCTTGAAATTCTATTCTTAGAAAGCTTCCAGACATGTTCTAGGAGAGGTGTGAAATTGGAAAACTCAATCTTACATGCAAGCACAAAGCTAACGAGTTGCTAACAGTAGTGCCTAAAACATATCAGTGTAAGGACATATCAGTTGTTTCAGTTCTTCACGCTGAACGTAGTCATGGAATAAATGCACTGTTTGTGAACTGTGAGTTAATTTTTTTGTCTTATTTCCTCTTATAAAAAGCAAGCTGGAGATCAGTATTCAGAATTTATTTTAAAAAAAAAAAAAGCTTTTCTCATTTTTATTTTTTTTTTCCCCTGAGAATTCTGTTTCAGCAGTGAACTCCAACAGCTGGATGAGCTTTTGGAATGAGAGGAGAGGAATTAATTTGTGCAGTTGTCTCCACAATGTATAATTTTATGAACTTTTAGTTAGCTTTTAAGCAAACATTGTATTTGTAATCCAGATTCCAGCGTGTAATCACTGAAATTTTTGAGCTTGTGTAAGTGACAAATAATCTGGTTTGGCCTAAAGACAGAATTACTATTAGCATTGATCTGGAAAATTAATGAGTACAAATTAATACTTTCACCTGTATACAGAAGTTTGCCAGTTTTGCATTATAACACAAATCGTTGCTCTGAATGTTTCTGACAGTCATGTCTGTACTCTATTCCAGTAAGCATATTTAGGAAGTTTCAGTGTTCTTGTGTTAAATGCCTTGACAAAACAGCTCTGAGGAAAACCAAGGTTCAAGATTGAGCTATTGTTCTTCTCTAGTTCAGCTGTGTTCTCTTCTTCTCCTGGCAGTAATGGTAACAGCAGTAGCTGGAGCAGTCTTGGTTTAGAAGGGGATATGTATGAGGAGAATTTATCCTTTCCAACATCAGACAGGTTGGTTGAGTTGAGAATATAAACCAGATGGGATCCTTATAATTAATGCATGTAATCATCATTTTGGAAAGTAAGAATATGGCACTTTTTTAATGCTTTTATGTTATTTGCTCTTTTCACGCCTAATCACAGTATGATTTCTTTCATTAATTAATCCACACTGAATGGTTAAACTTTGCTGTGCTAAACTGGTGAATGTGCTCTGCTTGCAAAATGAAAGGTCCCACTTATGCATGTTCTTGCTTGCGGTTCACAAGTCTTTAGATTTACTTTTGTACTAGAGCTTGCTTCCTACAGGATTTCTGTTTCTCATTTAGCTTGTGGAAACTTTCAAAATTTCTTGGTAAATGATATTTGTAGAAAATTTAACATGCAGCTCTGCATAATCTATAGCTGTTCATACATGTGATATAAGATACCTCAACTTTTTTTTGCATATGAAGCAAACCTGTCCTCTTGAATATTAACAAGTTTTCATCCTATTTTAAAAGATCTCTTTACAAGTTTCTTGTCTTTTCTCTCTTCTCCTAAGAGTAAATCTCATGAACTTGATGACAGATACATTTCCGACATGAAATGGTGTGAGAAGCAAAGCTTTTCATTGTCTTTTCTTAAATCTTCTATGATCTTCCTGTCTTTGCTGTTTGATCTTCAATGCAATCTTAGGATTGACTATATTTCTTCTGTGTATATTGTTTTAATATTTTTGTTACACTTTTAAAATACAGTGATGGAACAGAAGACAAAGATGAGGATTCCAAGGATGGTGTAGAAGGTAATCTCGATTCCAGAAATTATTGCTGTACTTATTTTTGTGTTAATTCTTTGCTTTTGCAATCTGCTCAATAACCCTGTTATCCCTGTAGATCATTATGATGACATTAGTGTCATTTAAGTGTCAGAATGTGTTCCTAGATTAATATTTTGAGTGAGTGCATCTGAGAAATGCTAGTCTCTTATTTTTAGAAAACACTCATAATTAACAATGAAAGACAGTGAAGTGTGAGCAGCTCCTTGAATGTGTGAATTAGTGAGGTATATAAATTAAGATCTGTATGGAATCTTGTTAAAACTTTCTGCTTCTTAGAGAACTCTGAACTTGGTTCAGTCTGAGCGAGGTACAAAAGGTTATTAACTTGCTACCTTCTGTGTTTTGGTCTTTCACTATGAGGTTGAGAAAATGCAAGTTACCATTGTTCTTTTTCTGTACTCAACTTGAAGAAAAAAAATAAATTCATTTAATGTCTATATATTTTTTTTTTAACATTAGGTTTGGAGCAAGTAAAAAAGACTTTAGCCATATTAAATATTGACCTGGAACCAAATCTAGTGGACCCCCAGCTCAGAGCAGCACTCCAGTGGCTAGCAGCTTCTGAAACAGAGGTGGCTGATCTGCACTTTCACGACATTGCTACAAGGGAGTTTGTCTTAGTAAGTTGTTGAGCTTGGTGGACTTCGGGAGAGGGAAGAATGTGATGAGATTTGTGGGGTTTGCTTATTTTTATTTGCTATAGCAGCCTTTTCTACTTTTCCACCCACTAATAAAGAGATATTTGCTGGCAAGAAAAATCATTATTTAAATCCTGATTGCTCAAAGTGGTACAGGCTGTTTAGTCTGTGCATGTACAGTGAATAACAGTGCATTAATCAAAGCTGCGTTACCTTGTCTCACGAGTCGTTTTACTTGGCTTATTCCAAAGAAAGGTACAGTTTCTGTTCAGTGAAAAATGTACTTTTTAAATGTACATTTTTAAATGTAGTGTTTAATTGTATGCAAACTAAATCTCATTTTTGAGAACTTGCTTGTGCAAGTAGTTTTCTAAGGTTATAGTGTGATGTTCATCCTCAAGTTTTTATGCCAGCAAATGCACGTTTTCTTATCAGAATTAAGTTATGAAGTTTAGATTCTTTTTTTTTTTTTTTTTTTTTTTTTTTTTTTTGTGGAAGCAACTGCAATCAAAACTGTTAAGAAAAGGCATTGAATGAGGCTGTTTTGGTTTTAGAGATTGATGTGACTACAGAGAAAGCTGAATTTAATACAAGAGGCTTCAGTAAAGCACGTCTCATAGGGGAGGGACAAATGTTTGGTGTATCTAATGACTTGAGGATATTTACATCACAAATGCAGCAGAAACTTTTTATTTTGATAAAATCTTTTTTTTTTTTTTTTTTACTTCATGTGATTACACACTAAACTGCATTCGATAATCCAGCATTTATTACATGACCTATTTTTGTTAATTTTCTACCAAGAAACTGTTTTTAGCTATATCCAGTTGATTTAGTTAGTTCCTTGATGTGAATGAGCTTTGCTTTAGTGGCTATTGTTCTGACTTACTGCATAGCTTTTGCTGAAGATCTATCCATCCTTGACCAACGTGAGCTATGACATTGCAAACACAGGCAGAGTAGTGGTGGGATCCACGAGTGTTGGTGGTTATCTTATTTTCCATGTCTTTGTCCTGCACCTTACATGGTAACATACCATGTGGAACAGCAACAAAAAGAAAAGATGGCAGATGTGGCTCTGAGCAGCCTGGTCCAGTGTTTGGCAACCCTGCACATAGCAGGAGGGTTGAATCTAGGTGATCATTGTGGTCCTTTTCAATCCATGGGCATTCTATGATTCTGTGTCTCTTCCTCTTACTTCTTTTGCAGGCTTTTTACTTGGCTAGAGGCTAAAGTTGCAGTGCTATCTTTAAACTAATGCCTGAAGATGCATAAGAGATATATTATAGCTATTAAGAGAATATGATGAGAAAAGTACTGTGGAAAATAACTGTCTAATGTGTCTTTTTGTAGTAAAAATTTTGCTTCTTGACAAGTGATACTTAGCTGACACCAAAAGATAAAATTACATCTTCAGATAAATGATCATCATGCAATGCTGAAAACATTTGTTTGCTTTTAAATAATGAATGATTTAAAAGCAAATAATCATTGATTATTTAAAAGCACTAGGTTTTACATATTCATCATTAGTTCTCCAAATGTAGTTATGTTAAGATCAACTGAAACACTGTTTTTCCTTTCGTGCTCAGGGAAGGGTTACCTGTTTTTATTCTGTTTCTTTTCTCAGTAACGCTGTCTATCTACAGACTTGTGTCCAGTTTATGTCTAGTTGCCAAATCCAGAATGTCACCTGTTATGTCAGCCAGACTCAGCATCCTTCTCTGTTTCTTTGGTTTGGAACGAAAATACAGAACTCTGAGCATTGTCTCTTTTTGAATTATCCAGTATAGGAAAGATTAGGACACGTAGTTTTTGAAATTAATTTGCTTTTAATTGTCAATTTATAAGTTCAGAGAACTAAACCTTTCTAGGATGCTTGTAAATGTAATAAGAATGTTCTTCTGAAAAGCCCCTGTGTTCTTTCAGGATTATATTGGATAGAAACGAGATATTTAGCAGTACAGTACAAGAAGTCTTGTACTTAGTCTCAGGCTGATGTTGACGATCTGGCCCAAACTGAGGTTCTTAAATTGGAAATAGGCATTCTCTGTTCTGTCACTGGTAGAACTAGATGCACCTCCAGAGGGCACTGTAGCCCAGCAGAAAACTAAACTGACTTCTGCTTTCAGATGTCTTCCCCAACTAAATTGACCTCTATGTATAATCTCGATGTCAGCTCTGTGGTTTTGATAATCTCAGAGCTACTTTGGTAAGGTACCACAGTTACATAAGGAATAAACCTGGGCTTTTAAAATCACACTGAAAACAGTAATTTTCACTTTAAGCAGTTGGAAGTTTCAGGAAGGGAGGAGAGGCAAATGTTAGCTGATCAGAGCAGGATAATAAGCCACTGATGTTTTGTGGCTGTATAAAAGATAAAAATATACCATGCCTGCTATATGCTGGTAGTTACTAGCTGAAACTGGATATGAACTCTTGAGAGTTCACACTATACTCAGCAAGGCAGAAAAGTTGATTACCTGTGTATGAAACAAAATATGTTAGTTAGCTGCTATAATGAAAGGCTAGTGAATTAAACAAATCTTGGGGGAAAAAAATTCAAGAAGATCTGGCAGCATGGATGTGCAAGTGCCTTGATTTAAAAAAAAGAAAAAAAAAAAGAAAAAGCATATAATTTTTAATCAGAGCATATCTAACTGTTCTAGGATTTCTGGTGTCTGTATTGAATCAACTCAGTTGATTCTCATGTGTGACAGTAGGAAGCAGCAGTCATAAAGAAAATATGGGATTGAACTTTGAACTCAATTAAAACACAAAGATAAGCAAAGCTAGGTGACAGCTCTCATATTTAGTGTGATGATGTATTTTTCCTTAGACAGAAACTTTAAACTGTATTTGCCTAAGTACATCTTTGGACTTCAGCCAAACTTCTCTCTGGCGTAAGGAAAAATTATCCTTCTTTTATAAACCATTTACAAAATTGCCTCTTGTAGCCCATAAAACTCTTGTTTGCTGTGCTGTATTTTAAAATTTACAAATAATTCATGGAAATAACTTCAGAGTTCTGTCTCCCTCTTATGTAGAATGTGTTCGTTTATTTATTTTTTAACTAAAGAAATTTCTGCATTCAGTGTATGTTCTGCTCATTCAAGATAACCTGTACTCAGAAGTTAACTGTTTTGTACAGGTTTTTAGTGCTGGGCTGGTTACAGCTGAAAATGCAGACTGAAATGTTCAGCATTCACACTCTGCCTGACAGTTCTATCACCTGTCTCTTTGCAGTCTGAACATCACGCTTAGGTGAAGAAATAGGGAAAAGTTGTCTCACTCTTCTTTTTTTTTTTCCTAGAATTTTCATACTTGAGTTTGACAGGTCACAGGAAAAAAAAAAACAACAAAACCCTCTATAAATTTTTAGTTTGGTAACCGTGAAGATATTTTGCTGAATGACTTTTTAAAACTTAATAGAGAGCAGTAAAATTCTGTGGCTCCAGGAGATACGTAAAGTGTATGTCTAAATTGTTGTTGTTAAACGCAGCATTGGCGGTTATGCTGAAAGCCACCAAGAATATATATTTTTTTTAAAGTAAAGATTTCTTAGTTCTGGGCAAGCTGACAAATTCACTGCATCTTAGGGGTAGGCATTCTTCCATATTTAGCTAATCTTAACATGTAGGCAAAGGAAATTTCTTGCTTGGGCTCCTGGATGAAAAAAAATGTTTTCAGCTACACTGATCTCCTTCACCTTTTCCTCTTCTCCAAGATGCTATAATTTCCTAACTCTGAAGGCGCTGTTTCCGTTGAGGGTAGCATCTGTGCCACCCAAACCACACTATATGTTGTGAAAGGAAAATCCACATCCTTTTATTAAGACTGAGTTTTGTCTTTTTTTATGTGCGTTATTGGCATGGGAGGGGTGGCAAACGTCTTAACCTTGTGTTCGGAATTTCCTGTTTTCTGCAGTCTTGATGAACCACAGCCTTCATACCTATGGCACCAGATCATTTGAAAATGTCACTCCCTCCAGAAGAAACTGTTGTGAAAAGCGCTTGATCCTTGAGGAAGTTTTTGTTTTTGTAGATGTGGGAATAATGATGAACTTGTTACAACTGATCTCTTATGAGCTAATGTTTCAAGAATAACTTCTGTAACTGTTAATCAGGATGTGCTGGTCAAAATATTTTGTTTTGTGTTTCTCCCATATCCCCTTTAGCTTTCCAGAAGACTGCGTGAAAGAGATTGGAAAGTGGGAGATCTCTTGCAAGCAGTGTTGAAGTACTGTGAAATGCTAGAGAAGGCATCCGATGGAGAACAAGCCTTTAATAAGTCTTTGGTTGGGTGGCTCCTGGATAATGTCTGAAAAAGTCCAAAGATGCACCACTCCTCTCTTCATTCCTCTTTCAAAAGGAGATAGGAAGAACGTAGATAAATAATGTAAAATTCAATTAATGAATGTTCAAATAATTGTCAGCATTTAAAAGACTGAGGTGAAAGTCAAAGTATCTGTGCTGTGCTTTGTGATACTGTGCACATGATATGTTTATTCAGTCCATAATCAGCACTGTCCACCCATGCATAACTTGTGTTTACTGCTGTGTTCAGACCGTTGAGATAGTTATGAAAAAGTACCTTGTCTATGATAGTAGCTCAGAGGAGACAGTCTCAGGCATGACATTGAAGTTTCCCACTGCACCAGGATTGCTCTTTACCATTTGTGTCTGTTCTGTATTCACGGTGGGACTATGAACACTTGTGTTCTGGAAAAACCTCTTCTCATAGTGTGCAGCAGGATTTTCCAGAAGAATTGTCATTCTTGGTCAAGTGTTAGGTGCACAAGGGCAGAAATATCAGGAGGAAAATGGACTTGCCCAGGCAGACCCTTACTGAAGTCTGCCTTCATAGCTGCCTTTCTCAATTTGAATTTTCAAAGATGTGAGAGTCTGCTCTGAAATTGAAGTGCAAATACTTGTTTCCTTTTGTTGATTATAGAGCTGGTAAGTTCAGGTAGAAGGACAGTCTGAGCAGCTGAGCATAACTTCTTAAAAACGAAGCAAAGTTTCTTGAAGTTTGCAGTCAGGTTTAAATTGCTAAATTTCTTACTGAAGTTTCTTGTACCAAAATACTTGTATAACATTGATTTCATGTCTGAAGAATTTGTATGTTAGTCTTTGTTATGGTTTAATCCTAATAGCAGCTCAGCTCCACACAGCTGCTTGCTCACTGCCCCTCACAGTGTGACAGCAAAGAAACTTGGAAAGGTGAAAGTGTTAAGAAGTCATGGCTTGAGATAAAGACAGCTGCAGCAAAAGCTGCCCTTGCAAGCAAAGCAAAGTCAGGGCTCTCTCATACGTGATGGGTGCTTGGGAAGACAACACCAAATGCCACCCTCCCTGCCATTCCATCTTCCATTGCTGAGCATAACACCACATGGTGTGGAATATCTCTTTGGTTAATGTATTAGCTGTCCTGGCTATGTCCCTGATCAGCATCTTGTGCCCCTTAGCTCCTCGCTGGCAGGTCATCTTCAGAAGCTGAAATGGCCACAGCTCTGTTAGCACTGCTCTGCAGCAACTAAAATATCAATGTGCTGTCAATATTATTTTCATCACAAGTCCAAAACATAGCACCATACAAACCTCTGTGAAGAAAATTAATTCAAGCCAAAGCTGGGAGAGTCTCACATACAGAGTAGCAAATGGAATCTTTTTTTTTTTCTCTGAGAATTGTGGCCATCTTTTTGACCAGTCTAATTCTTTACTTCTTACCTTCCATACATGAGTTTTCTTTGCAGTAATAAAGAGAATTTTGTTACTTGCTGAGCACTTAAGTGTTAGCATGGAAAACTCATTAAAATAGAAAGGAGAAATTTATTGCAAATTGATTTTTCATTTTTCTTAACTACCTTTGCTGAATATTTTTTTAAAGGCACTTTTAATCAAGTCTTTTTAGCAATCTAATCATGTTTCTTACCAGTACTGCTGACTTGCCTTTTTGTCTGAAGGAAAGTCTGGATCTTTACATATCCTGTCGTATGAGAATGCTTTTGGGGTTTGCTTTTTTGTTTTTATGCATTCTTTTTTAGAAAAAGGCACTTGGTAGTAATTACAAGGCTGCCACCTCAACATTCATATCACTTGAAAGCAGATCGTGGTGTTTCACTTAGCTTGGGTGAACAAAAGAATCTTAATGGCTTTCTCAAGGAAAAATACACTGTTGGTATGTCATGCATTTCAGGGTGTGATCCCAAATGAAAAGAAATGGATGTCTTTAAACCTGTTCATGAGTTATAGTGCAATATGTACAATTCTGATTCCTCGTGTCCTAAATTGCTATAAAGTGTCACACTGGTAAGACCACTTTTCTTGCAGTGTCTTTGTGTGTCAGGAAGGCATTCCACTAGTCAGTATAGATCTTTTTACAGAGACCTGGTTTAGTTTAGTTTTCATCTGTCATCTGGTTTTCAAAAGGGACCCTGTCTTGGATCTCAAAGTTTACCTTTCAAACTGGGTTAGGTTTATATATGCATGTGTGTGTTCACACGTGTGCATGCACACACAACTAGATATGTTGATGTATCTATATTATGTATTAGATCTCACCTATATGAATTTACAACATAAATTTTTATTGCTAACTTAAAGTTGTGTTATTCTCAGAGTTTATTACCTCATGTGCCGCATCATTTTGCTGACTGAGAGATCTGTATGTGCCGTATGACAAAGACCAAAAAAAACAACACTACAGGCTCTTTTGCTCCTTTATAGGTAATACAATGCTAAGTTACAGGAGTCAGCTTTCTCTAGAATGGAAAGAGGGGAGAAAAAAACTATTATAATTTCTTTATGTGGGAGATGGCCTAGTAATGAATACATGTGAAGGGCTATATGAATTTTTCTTTCTATTTTTGTGTTCTCCCTCTCTCCTCATTTTCCTTCCTTTTTTTCAGACTTTGAGAACATTGACTTTCAGGTTCATTCCAGACAAAAGTTTTGAACCATTCTGTGGCCGTAACATCCTCCTTTCAACAAAGTAATAATGAACTTGCAAAATTAAAATGTCAAGAAAATAAAACACAAAAACCAATGCCTGAGAACTAAATTTGCTCTGGCTTTTGGTATTCCCATAGAAGTGAATTTTCAGGACGTGAGGATACAGTAATGCTAGTACAGTGTTTCAGCACATCAAAAACCAAGCTGAAAATGATATTGAAGATGTTGTACGTGTGCAGACCTGTTGGTAGACTTCAACACACAGAACAGGGGAAAAAAAAATCCAGGAAAACAGGAAACTCATCAGTTTGGTATGTTGGCTTTTATAAAATTGATGATTTTAAAAGAATTTTAATGCAAGATTAAGAGTTTATGCAGCTCCCAAAGCTTCCAGCTATTCAAGAAGTCAAGTGAACAGTAGTTGTGCTATAAATTAAGTCTTTGTTTCGGATTGGATGCAGTGCATTGCTCCATTGACTGATGTTAAGGATGGCATTGATTTATTAGTCTGTAAGGAAAGGAACAATTTCCAAATTAACACAAGGAGAAAAGTTACAAAACACTTCATTTTTAATTTTAAAAAAAGTAAAACCACAGTTTTCTACACAAGTTATTTTGAATTTGTGTTCTGGATGCTCTTCTTTTTTTTTTTTTTTTTTCTTTTTACTGAAATTGAAATCAAACCAGCCTTGCAAAATTATTATTTAACCATTTTAATAGCTATTGCAGAATTCTTCCTTTGATTATATCTAACTGGTGCTGTCTGTTATATTACTTGTGATGTATACATAGGTGTTGTTTTCTGCAGTGAGTCTTATATAATGCTTTTACTGAGTTTATTTAAAACTCCTGACCACGAATACAGAAGTGTAAGTGAAAACTGTAACAATACAGAGGACTACATTTTGGCCCATTTAAAGCAGACAAATGTGCAATGAAATGTAGTTTGTTTCATCTTGCAGATTTTTCTGCATGGGAAACTCAGTAATGTAATTTTAAATTGAAGAATATATATATATTCTTCATATATATTGTGTGTGTGTGTGTATATATTTATATTTATATATATATATATATAAATACACATATTTGTATGTGTATGTACACATATTAGTATGTATATATATATATATATACACACACAATGATGTCACCATTCCAGAAAGCACCCTCTCTTAAATGCTACATAAATACATGTGGTGTTCTGAAAAATGGAAGTGCTTTCATGTTTTGTGAGATACCATAGGGAGGAAAAAAAAAGTGAAAATAATCCCTCTATAAATTAACAATTAAAAGTGTCCATATTTAAAACAAATGTAAGCATTTGGAGCGGGGTACATAAATAATACATAAGCACATATAAAAACCAAACCCATATGCTAAAATTAAAGAAGACCTACTGTTTCAAATTGAGGATGTGAAAAATGAGTCAACGCCACGAATTTGAATGCGATTTGCATAGTATTTTTCTTCTTGAGTTTAAAATGACTGTGTAAACTTGAAGAAAAAAATAATATTAAAAAAAGAAAACAACAAAAACGTGAACCTAACAACCCACATTCCGAGACTGATCAGGTCTCCCCAAAACGGTACCAGATTTTAAACATTATGTTTTCTAATGTTACTTTATCTAGGACCTTTTCTATTAGGAGTTGCATCCTGTTGGAGATGGGAACATGGTAAACATAAACACTGTCACCAGCAGAAAAAAATAGCTTTACAGAGGTGACCTGCAAAGAAAAAGACAAGATTTGGGACTGATTTTAGTGTAAGAATTAGTGGCTTTTCAACAAGAGCCACTACTGTCAAGCATTTGACTGTCAAGTACTTTAGCTCTGAAGAGACAAGTACAGAGCCCAGCCACTGTTGTCACTTTATTTTATACCATCTTTGTACATTCCTGTTGTATAGCTGGAGTCGTAGTTTTAGAGGGTCTTTGTTCTGTTGTAATGTCTGAATAGTATTTAATACTAAAATTTATTATAATTTGCTGGAACTGCTGCTTATTTGTGCAGTGTTAAGATAGTTTGCAGCCCAGTTAGTGATGCAATTGTACACCAAAAGCAGTTTGAATAACTATAAATGTTTATGTAACTGTACTCAATGAATATGAAGGTCTCGTATAACGGTGATGAGTTTTGCCATTTTAATAATTTAACTATATTCAGTTTTCAGATTATAAACTCCAGGTTGCACTAAATTTGTCCTTGTTTTAGCAGTGGCTTAAAATAAAACACGTTTCACCGGCTTTGAGAGAGCTGTCATTTCTTGTGAGTTCATTCAACGTTACTTTTCAGTTTACAAAGCTAAGATTGGTCCTACTCCGTGTTGTGTGAGGGCACTTGAATGGCATGGTAAACAGTGCTAATGCAGCAGGAGATGGCATCATTCTTACAGGATTGAATTGCTCTCTGCAAAGAATTCAAGAGAACCATTTTGCTGTCTTTTGGGTTGAGAGCTAAGCCTGAAGTTCCAGTCACATAAAGTATATCATTGCATGAATTCTGTTAGGAGATATTAAGCAAGAAATGAACTGTAATATCTCAAAGTAAGCTGAATGAATAACCAGTCTGTGTCATCTAGCCTGAAAGCTAGGTCAGGAAGCATGGCCTGATAATTCCATGTGGGTTGAGGATGGTCTTGGCACACGCACAGTTTCTGGGGAACCAGAGTAACAGCCAGCTTTGAAGTCTTCTTAATGCAAGAATGTGCTGCTGATGAAAATGTGTGGAACACGAGTTTTCGTGGGCTTATTGAAAGCATTCAAACATTTTGATATGTTGTGAAACTCACCAAATAATAAATTTTTAAGTACCCTAAAATTAAAATGCTGGCCAAACTTGTGCACTGATATGGTTTCCAAGTTCTAGAGATGCTGTTATTGCAAATAGATGACAGGAGTTTGTTTTGTATTTATATCTTACAAATCTAACAATTTTAGTAGCATTTCATTTCAAGAATACGTTTTTTTTTTTTTTTTGCTGAAGTTACCTTTAAAGTAAGCATGCCCAGCTTTACATGATTCTGTATTTTTGCAATGTTTTTTTTAGAGTTGATTTCTTCAGTGTCTATACGATTTCTTCCAAAAAAAAAAAAAAAAAAAATCTCTTATTTCATTACTATATCTGTGTGAAAGATGTTTGAGTTTGGCTAACGAGTCAGTTACCTTCTAGAAAATGCATATTAACTGATCAAGTAAATGTTTAACTTGTTTGTAAAATACTATGCAGACAAAAGGATTAAAAAAATAAAAAGGTGGGTGGCAAATTTGGAAATAAAAACAGATTTTTGTGAAGAGAAAGAATCATCTTGAAGATTAGCTTGCTCTTTTTCTTCCTGCCTAGCCTTTATTTTGCTTGCTTTCAGCAGTCTTGCTCTGGCTGGCTTTATTCAACCACAGAACAGTATCCGTGCACTTTGCTTAACCTTGGTGTATTAAATAGAGCATTGCATCTCCAGCTATTCTGTAGTTTTTGCCTAACGTGTGCTGCTCCCATCTCCCACTCCTTTGCTTCTACTTTCTTCTAACTCCATGACTTGAGCTTTTAATGTGACTGAATTCCTGAATTAATTCCTTGCTGGTTACTGCCCCAAGCCTCTGACTGGAAGGTGTCTATGGAAAGCCAGTGATGCCAAAGCCAAAGAAATGTGCACTCATCACTGACCTTACTGGCTACTTACTGAACTCCAGGTTAATCAAATGTCTCTTTAGTTGGTGTTAAGGCCAACCAACAGATATGTTTCTGCTTGGGGTAGGGGAACCAACAGTGACAAGCACAAGGCCATGTCTATAATCAAGGTGCTGGCTCTTTGCTTCATGGCCATGCAGCATCTTTCCCCAAGAACTACAGTGACTGAAATGGAGGCCTTTGCATAGACAAAACATGTAGCCTATCCTGTCTCCTCCAGTCCTCCAAAAGTGACTGCAGCTGCTTCTAGGCCTGTAAGGAGCTATGCGTGGATGTGAGAGACTATGGTTTTTTGTTTTTATTTGAGAATGGTCAAAAGAGAAACACAAGTTTAATGCTTTGGACAGGAATAAGACAAATATCCAGAATGCAAAAGCAAGGTAATGTATTTTTTCTTCCATCTGCCCAAGTAGCCCACTTATTGCCAGTCTTATTTTTTGCAGTTTTCTCCTCTTATTGCTCTAAGTCTCCTCCCACACTTTCCTTGTGGCTGTAGCTGGTTTCTACTGTTTTCCGACCCTTCTCCAGCCAGTAGTAGGGCTGTTCAGATTTTTTCCTGACCCTACTCAGCTGTCCTGATGTGACTTCTGGCCTTCTTATTCTTGGCTGGCGGAAGTGGTTAAAAACAAGCAAGGGAAGTCGTAGTTGAGAGGTTATGGAATAAAGCTGCCTACCAGAAATCATCAAGCAGTGAAGAAGAACTAAACTTGCTTTTGGCTGAGTTTTTCACTCCTGTAGGAAAGTAATCTGTGGTTGCTTTGGTTTGGAACCCAACTTGTTGCTTACAAAACCCTTGGATTTTATGCTGATCTGAAAGTAACTTTTAAGCTGATACTCGAGCATAATATAAGTCTGGTGTACTACATTATGGGTATGGATGCATATTTGCTTTGCTGCATAACAACAACTTCCAGGCACATGGCAAAATGCATTCTTCTGGAAAGCTGACAGTTGTCTCGCCC